CAGAGCTAGGGTTTAAGACCAGAAAGTCTAACCAAAGCCCATGCTCTTGACCTCCAAGCTACATTTAAGGGAGGGTAGCTGGCTGACTGCTGGGTGAGGATGTGGAACGAGGAAAGAGGGAAAAAACACATCTCCTAAGAGAAAGAGATTTTTTTCCAGGTCCAGATACCATCCACTCACTCTTAGTGATAACACAGGACTCTACTGACCCTTCAGCAAGTGCACAGTCCTTAGCAGGAGCTTCCTCCAAATGATGCCTGTGGAGCGGCGGAAGGCTGGGGCAGAAGTAGCCAGACCCCAGAAAAGCACCCCTGTCCCCACCCTGCTTCCCAGCCTGAGGCTGGGGGCCGTGGCCACACAACCGCAACCGGTGGAGCCTGCACCAGCTGTGCTCCCCATGGTGGGCTTCCAGGCCGGCCCCTGTGCTGCTCCAGCCCTAATCAGTGCTGCGCAGAGGGCTGAGCATGTCTAATGGGCCTTTAATCAGCGCCGGGGCTGACACCAGATTACAGTGTTTATAATGCGCCGCAAATCTGTGTGGGGCTGACAGAGCTTCTCTACACCACAGGAGCCTGCGGTCGGCCTCCCCCTCAGCCCCTGCCGGCCCAGCCTTCTTTTCTTGCCTGCAGCCTGGTCCAAGGGGCCTCGGCCCCTTCCAGGTACCCCCTGCCCCAACCCCAGCCTCTAGAGCCGACTCTGGGAGTTCATGTCTGAAAGGGCAGGAACCTGAAGCCCGTCCAGAGGGTGGTCCCCAAACTGTCAGGACTCTCAGTGGCCCCTGCATGAACAGCCTCCACAAAGATTGACCAGCCTCCCCATCTGGTCCAGACGACCACCCATCACCCATCCACCCCAGGGCCAGGAGGGCACCAGCCACAGGGCTGTCCCCTGTATGGGGTCATCAGGAATGGGGTCCCTCTGCCTTCTCCCAACCCCTCCAAATCAGCGTCCCCTGTGGCACCTACAGTAAAAATGAGGCAGCAATAAACAAGCAGTGCAGGCACTGTTCTATCCTACATTTTTATGGTCAAGGAAATCAAGGGCCAGAGACGTGCAAGCTGCACAGGAATAAAAAGCACTGGCCCCAGAGTCAGACTGCCTGGTTTCAGACCCCAGTGCTGCCTCCAGAGAGCTGTAATTCTGTGCCTCAGTCCCCTCATCTGCAAAATGGGGGTGATACTGTGTCAGGCATTCATTATTACAGCAATAATTGCAACTGATATTTACTGAGCTCCAGAACAGCTCCAGATACTGTCCTAAATAAGTTATTTGGATCATTTCAACAACTAGAAATTATTTTATTCTCATTTTACAAATGAGGAAACTGAGGCACAGAGAGGTTAAGTACCTCACACATGGTCAGTGGCTAAGTCAGGATCTGAACCTAGGCCGTCTGATTCCATCCAGCCCATGCTCCTGACCACTGAGCAACATCACCCCCCTGCCAACACAGGATGGCTCAATAAGATGATACATGTACCCAGCATAGCATCTGACACATGTTTTAAAAATATTCAATAAATGTTAGCTGCTATTAATATTTCTATTATTATCACTTACGCAAGATTTCACAGCCAGAATCCGACTCAAATGAACCTTAAAAGGTCACTACCCTGACACAGCTGGTGAGTGGCAGTAAAGGGAATACAGGAGGTCTGACCACAAGCCCCTCAGGCCACAGGCACCAGCCATGGCAGGAAGCCCCAGCTCCCAACTGCCTGCCTGTCTGTCCATGTGCCCTATTCCCCTTTCCCCACCCTGCACAGGGTGGGCCCTTACCATTGACAGTGGTCCGGCGGGCAATCTCCCACAGCAAGAGGCCAAAGGCCCAGATGTCAGTCCACTTGTAGGACTCAAAGCAGTCGGTACGGATCTGCTCTTCCAGCACCTTCGGGGCCATGTACCGCTTGGTGCCCACTTGTGGGTTGTTGCCGATGTCCAGGTAATCGCTACCCTGGGAGTGCATCACAGCCAGGCCTGTGGGTACCAGGCCTGTCACTCCTGCCGCTCACCCAAGCCCACAGACAGGGTGGCCCCTGGGAGGCTGGGGTCCAAGGCGTGAGGTGGGGATGGACTGAATCAGTGGGACATAGAAGGGCCGTGAGGTGGGCTGGGAGATAGCAGCCGCAGGGAGGCTAACTGTCCCAGTTACACTTGGCTTGTGTGGTGCTCTCTTGATGCAAGAACCCAGGGAGATATGAGTAGGCAAGGCAGGCATTATTATGCCCTTTCCACAGAGCTGAACCCCAAGGCCTGGTGACAGGGAACGATGTAGTCAGGATGAGAACCAGGTTGCTGGCTCCCTGCCCCTTTTTCCCAACTCCTGGAGCAGGGCTAGGCTGGTGGAAGGAGTCTGCGCTTGAAAAGCATGTTAAGGCAACTTGTGGGGCTCTGGTGGGGGTGAGATGAGCCCACACACAGGCCTGTAAGTTTGAAAGCGCCCATCGGTGTCGTCATCGACGCGAGGCACCCAAACAGGCAAGGGCAGAACCAAGTGCAGAGGGAGAGCGCACGAACC